ACATAAATTGCAAAGCAATAATTAACACTAATGCATACAATACATCAGTTCCTTTTTTGTGTTGTAAGATTTAAAAAATTAGAATGATCAAGAAATAAGTTGCAGAAAAGTGGTTCAGATAATAAAAAATTACTTTTTAAAATGTTGGCCCTCATTCAATCCAATAGTACAATTTTAATATTAATGATATGATAATATTTATCTTCAGACTAGAAAAGCCAATAATATTGTTTTATTTGAAAGTTAGGCATATTAAGAATATATTTGTAAAATAAAAAACAGAATTTGCCACCTTGAGAGTGACATCACAATGTATCGTAGTGACAAGACACGTTTACAAAAGGCTTTAAAGTTTACATTTTTGCCTGACGTATTCAGTTTGTTTTCCAGTGTTAAAGATGTAGTATACCATAGGTTTCTCTCCCAGACAATCAATGATGTCCGATAATTAGTGCTCATATAATATCTCACATACCATGGATATATCTTGGGATTTACACTCCCCTCCATAAGTTTGGCAACCTTAGCTCCCCCATTGAAGTCAAAAGTAAAGAGGCTTTAACACGTTGTTCAATTGGGGAGCTAAGGTTGCAAAACTTATGGAGGGGAGTGTACTTATGGGTTCATTATTGCCAATATATTGAAATAATCAACAGAACAACCAACTTCCAGAATTAAACACAATCGATTCCTCGGCTAGCGAGGGGAATCCCCGTTGAGTCCACACAGGCGCCCACACGCGTCTTAAACCAGGGAGCCAATCAGGTTCATAATAAACAAATTCAACAACCAATCAGATAACAGGGGGATTCCCCGGTATATTCAAACTTCAGATTGAATTAATTTCCGCGAAAATAATTAGATTGGTCAGCACAATCGCAATATTAAAACTGAACGCAGAGGATTTGGGACTTCTTCGTAGGTAGATGGGTGAATATGTGATAAAACTCAATATGCAGATATGTCCAGAGGGGTCTTGATTGTGCCATCTTATGGTATAGAGCCTCTTTAAGTGTTGTATTTGATGAACTAAAAATCTAATATTTTTACTAAAATGGCGGAAATTTCAAATATTTGAAAATTATAAAATTGTAACTTTAGGCCAAAAGTCAATTTTTTCAATGTGTCTCAATAGTTTTTAAGTCATGAAAAGTAACATAAGTCTGATTAAAGTATATTTTCAAACTTTGCAAGGGGCCTTTAAATTTTGATTATTTGTTTGTTCGAAACAAGTTCAATGACATTTTCAATTGATTAACAAATGGATTAATTTTGAATATATTTATTTCTCAACGCATTTTAATATGATACCGGTGTACTGATTTCGTTATCATAAATGTTTTTCTTTAAGGAGACGTTGCTACACTGCCGAATGCGATTTCTACGCTCCCAAATATCATTTCTTCCACGAAGACGTACGTGTCTGAATCAGATTTAAGAGCTGCCAATGCTGACATGAAAAGAGACATTGCACCATCACAAAATACATCTGGTAAGTACAAAATAATGGACCAGAATTATATTGGAATAATACTGTAGTATAGCCGGGGTGCCAAATAACATGATGGTTATAAATGTGTGTCTCAGAATTGAAGTATAATGGTAGTGTGTGGTAGTGTATAAATGTCTGGAATGTCTGATATTATGAAATAACAGCTACTGGAATATAGCACAATTATTGCTATACAAGCAGCAATGAGTTATTAATATAGTGGCTCACTCTGTATAGCATTACAAATGTGACAAATAAAGCGACACACTGCATACAATGATTTCATTTACATTGATGGATAACTGCTAATAAATACATGTATGGGGATAAACCATAAATACTAGTATGTCTTACCAACAATTGTAATATGATAATGTGGAATATGGACATCATATAAAAACTGCATTATGAAAATTATCTTTATTTTATTTTTTATTTTATTTTTTTATTCACGTAATACAATTCAAGTACAAGCTTCATTAAATGCAAGTAGTCCTTTCATTATGAAAATTATGCCAGTGGGGATAGACCACGGATAAGGCAACATCACAAGTATAACAAGATATAATGTGGGGATAAACCACATAAAATCAAGATATAATGTGGGGATAAACCACATATGATCAAGTAGGGATAAACTACATAATGATCCTATGTAAGTTCATCTCTCTGGTTAATATATCAGAAACAAGTCAAATTCTTTACTTCAGAGAATATTTAAAAAAAAATATATATATATATTCTCTGAAGTAAAGAATTTGACTTGTTTCTGATACATAATGATCATAAAACATGGTGGCAATTATACGTCGAGTATATAAAGGCTATAGTCTCCAAGGAAAATGTTCCAAGTCCCGTGGCAATATTTTCTCTCACTTGAAATCCATACAAAATACTACAAACTCATATATTGGTTAACATATTTACAAAAGTTTATTTGATATTAACAACCCTCCCCCCAAAACTACATGATTTATGAAGTTACATGAAGAGAATTTCAAATTAAAATAACATTCCACAATTGGTTCAGATCTTATTAATCACTTTCATTTTTTGTTTTTTATGTAATTGCAGTCACTGTCGGAAAACTAAAAACCAAACCAATAGTTGCAAAGAGACAGCTGCAGTCTGCTCCTGTAATCGATCTTGTAATAATACCAAGCGGACATATATTGGGGTAGCGAGTGGTGGAGGAGGTGTCAAATCAAAGATATTTGACGGTGATTATAATCTCATCAAAGTTTTCAACAAAAAGAAACATTTCTGGGATATTACAGCTACAAATGATAACGAACTAGTATTCGCTGACGGGTCTAACAAACTCTACTTCTATACAGCAGAAGGTAAGCCTATACGCGAAGTATTTATGAAAGGGTATGCCACGATACGTGGTATTACTGCACTATCTACTGGCCAGTTGGTTGTATGCGATAGCCACACGGAGATAGTGTATTTAGTTGATCGGTGTACAGGGGATGCAACAGCAATCTCTGCTACTGAGACGTTTATTTATGCTCGCCGTGTTGCAACTAACAGCAAGGATGTCATTGTCATAAGCGACAGATATAACCATACTGTATATGGGTTTGATCAGGCTGGCAATGTACTCTTCACTTACGGTAACGGAACAAGTGGATCAGGGGAGGGGCAGTTGAGCTATCCCATGGGAGTCTATACGGATTCAGAGGACTATATAGTGGTAGCAGATGAAAATAACCACAGGGTGCATCTCCTTACCCGGGAAGGTAACTTCCATAGTTATCTACTCACAGAGAGTGATGGCGTTAACAGCCCACTAAGTGTTGGTATGAATCAAGATGGGCAGATACTGGTCGGGGATGACAGAGGACAATTATTCACTATCACATACAGAGAATAAGGTAAAGTGTAGGACAATGACAATTATTCACTATCACATGCAGAGACATCATATTTTAGTGATGTTAGACCAAGGTCAAGACACCATATTTTAGTGATGTTAGACCAAGGTCAAGACACCGTATTTTAGTGATGTTAGACAAAGGTCAAGACACCATATTTTAGTGATGTTAGACAAAGGTCAAGACACCATATTTTAGTGATGTTAAACCAAGGTCAAGATACCATATTTTAGTGATGTTAGACCAAGGTCAAGACACCATATTTTAGTGATGTTAGACCAAGGTTATATATACTCCTCAAAAAAGTTAAGGACCTCATAGGTTTACATGTTAATCCCCATATTTGTTTAACGACTGTTTTCTAAGCGGGAAACAAAAGAAATCCCAATAAAGAAAATAAATCTGTATCTTGATTCTATTCACTATAAAGTCCGCAACGTTTCAATGTTATATCTCCATTACATTTTTGGGTCAAAATTGATGAATTTCATGAAATTTAACAAAAATGGCAGATCCCATAATAAAACAAATGGGGAATGGTTGGGTTGTCATAAGTAATATGAGGAATGATCCATCCATCCGATTGCTCTCAAAATTGAGATTGTAAGAGATAATTAAATTTGCTAAATTGTCTACTCGACAAAAAATGATTTAATTGTCCAGGCTTTACAAAAGTTAATGGTTTCAAATTCAATAATTTTTTAATGAACCTCTCATTGAAATAACACAGGTGGTTCAGTGAGGTGGTCAAAATTACTTTAACGCTCCGTATCGCTAATTTTAACAACATAAGCGAGACATTTAGCGTGTAAAATGTAAAATCATTCAATTTTCTACTTAGAAAGTATTTTTTATAAATGTTTTGCTGAATAGATATTCCAAAATCTGAGTTGCCCCTAAGCCACCATTACCCATTTGTTTAACATGGGATCTGCCATTTTTGTTACATTTCATGAAATTCATCAATTTTGACATCAAATTTTGACCCAAATGTAATGGAGATATAACATTGAAACGTTGCGGACTTTATAGGGAATAGAATCAAGATACAGATTTATTTTCTTTATTGGGATTTCTTTTGTTCCCCGCTTAGAAAACAGTCGTTAAACAAATATGGGGATTAACATGTAAACCTATGAGGTCCTCAATGATCATTGTTACATATTGTGTTTTATAAATTGTTAGACGACGGTTTTGTGGATGGATGTTGACCATTTGATTTGCTTATGGACTTCAAGATTGGATTTTTTCTGTCCCACATCATTTGAGACTGAATGCCCTTTCTTGCATGACTACTAGTATTTACAACTATTTTTGATGTTTTGAGTATTGGCTCTAAATTTTAAATTCTACAACACTCAGTATTGTAATGACTTCGGTATGAATAAATGTCACTTAATGTTGGTCTCGGATTTTGATATTGGTACTTGGCTGGAAGGGAGATTAGACACTGTTTCCTTTGACCTTGGATTGTTATATCATTTATTTGGGGTTTAATTTCCTTATGACTGGTGTACTCTTAGACGCTTTATTTTTCTTGAAGTGTGATATAACCAGTTTTGATGTTTTCACGTTGGCACTTGCCCTTACATATTATACTGATAAACCATAACAAAACAAAGAATTCATTGTAATGACTGTTTATTTATACTTATATTTAAGCATTGACTGTTTTTATGCAAATTCACTCAGCGTATTCACAAATGTAGAAATACTTTTCGTTACACCTTGCATCATTCCATTTATTGCTTGTGTCACCCGCCAATTGCATACCCAATTGCATACACGACTCCTGGTTGTTAGGATCACTGGGATAATTCCAATTATCTGGCTGTCCTGTCTTCCAGTTTGTATACGAGGCCGTTTCGGCTGAATTTCCATTAGTCCAATAGTATCCGGATTTTCCAAGGGAATTTCCACCTATTTTAAGTAAAATATGATACTTGTATAATGTGATGATATTTAATTATTCACCAGGAGGGATTTGATATGAGGATATATCACAAGGATGATACCAATATTTCCCGAGGTAACGCAATGAGCGACTTGTGATATCATTAATAAAGGAAGGAAATATTGTGATGCTTGTTTCTTCAGTTCTTAATGGTTTTATACTTTGCAAATACCACCATATTTTGTAGCATTCAATGCATTCGTATACATCATTATTTTCTCAAATGCTCTTTTTTAAGTGTTCTTCAGGGTGTCAAATAAATATGTTCTACCCCATTAGCTTTCACATTGAAATAAGTTTCATAACTTTTTTGTCTGTGGTATTCAAACTGTTCTTTAGAGCATATTAAAACTGGAGCAACTCCACAATTCAGTTTCAGCTGACTAGCTCAATTAGATTCACATCCATGCATAAATGGTTTTACTTTTGAAATTAAGGGGAGGGGAGAACATATTTATTTGACACCCTGATTTTCCATCATGTTCAACACATTTTTGGTGTCGTTTTATTCAGTCAATGATCAAATGTTTAAAGCCATCTTTACTCAACACACGCACTCAGTCAAATACAGGCTTTTGATCAGGTCCTCTTCTGTCTTGTAAAATTCTCCCCGGAGTTCAGATTTTAAGCCCACAGAGAAATAAAAGGCTGGGGAAGCCATGTCTTTTGAGTTAGAGACTATTCCTAGTTGTTTGATCGATCCCCATGCTTTCCAATTGGTTCTATGTAAGTTTGAAGTATGGCAAGGTGCATCATCTCAATACAGGATGTAATCTACTGACTCTGGTGTTTTCTTGCGAGTGGCCTTTAAACATGTGTTCATGGACTGGATTCAACGTCACCAAAATTATGTTGGACAAAATGGCAAATATATAGTACAGTTAAAATTAGCATCTTACAAATCAATAAGAGACAAGACTTGATTGAATGTAACTAAATATGGTGGTATTCCAAAAAGAAAGGAAATATCACAATAGTTTCTTTCTTTGTTGACTGCTCCGAGTACTCTCACCATGGGTCGCCATGGTTACCGTAGAACGCAGTATATGAAATATAACATCCTGAAATTCATTTTGTGTATGTATAATCATTTAATCAATGCAACATTATGTGGGGAAATGAGCCAGATTCATTGATATCAATTATTTTAATCTAATTCAAAAAAGACCAATCAGATTACAGGATATTCAATAATTATGAAAAATAAGTTTATTCCTACCTATCCAAAAATTGTCTTGATTTACTGCATTGTCTATCAGTCCGTCAAGAAATGTCTGTTCATAAGATGATTGTATGATCACCAAATATCCACCTTCAGCTTTGCACACTGCACTTGCCTCGTACCAATTTGCTGTTGGCTGTGGACCATTTACATACAGGTAGCAGTGACTGTTGTACGAATTGTACCCTGGTTTACAAATTGCTGATGCCCCAGAAAGACACATTACTGCAGCTAAAATAATTGCTGTGGTTCTCTGCATCCTACATGTACAAAAATATCACTTCAAATGCTGCCAAAAAGATGGGGAGGGCTTAGTATGGAATCTTGTAGAACAAATGTAATGCTCACAAAACTATTTTCTTCTTTTCATAAATGTATTTTATTGCGTTTGAGTCACGTAGTACGAATTAGCAAGAAAATGATTTCTATTTGATCGTTTAGCGTTATGAAAATAGAACGGTAGTTGTATTGAGTGAATGGTGTATGCATTAGTGAATAAAGTCACTTCGGCTCTAAGCGGCGAGATAAACGGACAGAAGGTTAGCATTTACAAAAGCAAAGCGTTACATTGAAAAACAAGACGAACAAAATGCAGGCGCAAGAATTAAAAGATATTTTAGACAATAAATTCCAACACATGGAGAATAAAATTGAACAAAAAATGACAACTCTAAAGCGAAAATTATCTGTCGACACAAAGGAAATGAACATCGTTTGGAAGAAAAATGGGTACAAAAGACAACAATACACAGACAGTAAAGAAATGGACAAGAAACCTGAAGCCGCATTTACTGGCAAGGAAAATGGTCAATTTGATCAAACGATGGATAGTAAAAAAGTGAAAGTTTCAGGCAAGATGACCTCACAAACAGTGATGGGAGAAAGGAGAAATAAGTTGGAAAAGTGATATCAATGATAACTGCTATAGGCAATGTTGCAAGGTTGATGACAAGATGCTTATCTGTAGATATCAATGAAGCTCACAGTTGGGACGGCTATATTGAATTGTCAAAAAATGCAGAGACAGAATTGAAGTTCTGGGTTCAAAATTTGACTACATTAAATGGCAAGGCCATATCAGAATCTCCAAGAAAAAGGCAATTGGTGTTTTCAGATGCTAGTGATTCAGGTTGTGGAGGTTATTCGGTAAAATGTGAATCTAAAATTTGTTTCAAAACATTTACAGAAAGTGAAATGAAAATGAGTTCAACGTGGAGAGAGCTTAAAGGTGTTCTGGTGGTATTAGAATCGTTGTTACATTTATTCACTAGAGAGTCTCTAAAATGGTTCACAGACAACAAAAATGTAGAAATCATTGTAAATAATGGAAGTTCAAAACCACATTTGCAAAGCTTAGCTGTTGAACTGTTCAATATATGTGTGAAGCATAAAGTAGACATTGAAATACAGTGGATTCCAAGGTCACTCAACGAAAAAGCTGATTTCCTCAGCAAATTAGTAGATTACGATGACTGGGGAATCAAAGAGGTAGTTTTTGACAAATTAGATAAGATTTGGGGTCCACACACAGTGGATCGTTTTGCAGATTACAACAACAAGAAACTCAATAGATATAATGCTAAGTACTGGAATCCGGGCTGTGAAGCAGTAGATGCATTCACACAGAACTGGTGTTCAGATATCAACTGGGTAGTTCCACCAGTAAAGCTGGTAAGAAGTGTAGTCAAACACATGCAATACACAAAATGTTCAGGTACGTTAATAGTTCCAAAATGGCAATCGGCTAGTTTTTGGCCAAATATACACAATGGTACAACATTTCGCCCCTTTGTCAAGCAAGTCCTTGAATACAATGGTTCAATTCTAAAATCAGGATCACAATTAGAATCAATATTTCAAGAAAACCGTTTCACAGGAACATTGATTGCATTGAAAATATGTTGTAAGTGAAAGACTGAAGTATAACAAAATGTTAATATTGACAAAGAAGAGATATGAAAGAAAAATATTTGAAGCTATTGAAACGGAAGGTGCATAAGATAAAGGGAATAATATTGTAGTACCCATTAATAAAAGTCGTAGTGCACATGATAAAGGGAATTGTAATACTATGATAATGGAAAATGTAGTATATATGATAAGGAGAATTGTAGTACCCATAATAAGAAAATTTGAAGTGACAATATAAAGGGAATTGTGATACTTATGATTAGGGGAATTGTAGTACCCACGATTAGGGGAATTGTAGTACCAAAGATGAAGGGAATTGTTGTTCCATGATAAAGGGAATTATATCAATTATGATAAAGAGAATTGTAGCACCCACGAAAAATTAAACTTTTTACTGCACATAATAAAGGGAAATTGTAATACCCATGATTAAGGGAGTTGTAGTACCAAAGATGAAGGGAATTGTTGTTCCATGATAAAGGGAATTATATCAATTATGATAAAGAGAATTGTAGTACCCACGAAAAATTAAACTTTTTACTGCACATATTAAAGGGAAATTGTAATACCCATGATTAAGGGAGTTGTAGTACCCAAGATGAAGGGAATTGTTGTTCCAAGATAAAGGGAATTGTATTAAGCATGATAAAGGGAATTGTAGTACCCATGATAAACTAAACTTTTCAATGCACATGATTAAGAAAAATTGTAATACCCAAGATAAAGGGAATTGTACTGCTGATGATAAAGGGGAACTGTAGTACCCATGATAAAGGGAAATTGTAATACCCAAGATAAAGGGAATTGTACTGCTGATAATAAAGGGGAACTGTAGTACCCATGATAAAGGGGAATTGTAGTACCCGAGATAAGGGGAATTGTAGTACCCGAGATAAGGGGAATTGTAGTACCCGAGATAAGGGGAATTGTAGTACCCGAGATAAGGGGAATTGTAGTACCCGAGATAAGGGAAATTGTAGTACCCATGGTAAGGAAAAGCGAAGTAGCCAAAAGAAGTTTTGTATAATCGTCATATTGGTCATTTGATGGATTTACCGAGCCTCAGGGCCTATTGGTTGTCCATCAGACAATGGCACTCTATTTTGTATTCATAAAATCAGTGGAAATATATTGGTAAGTGGTGGTTTTACATAAGTGAAAATATTTGTATTAAAGGTCATATTGGTAAGTGGTGGTTTTACATGAGTGAAAATTTTAAAAACACTTTACTTTTCTAAGCTGTTATGTGCATATTGTCATTTAATAAAACTTTTAAATATAAGTTATAGGCTATTGTGAGGAAGAATTGAAGTACAAGGCTGGACGAAACATGTATGTGAACATCAGCGAATTATTAATTGATATTATTTACATAATAAATGTAGAAGGATGACATCCAAAAATCGGTTCACTGTGACAGGTCGCAAAGAACATAGCAGAGATGGCGTATTGTTAAAATGGCAGACCCTGTATAATGTTTTTGTCTTTGTGATAATATGACATTGAATTTTTATGTCTGAAAAGTACAATACTGGTTTTCAGTGGCTATCAAATGAAAAAGTACTATGGTTGAGCATCCAGATTTAACAGCAAAGCCCCCAGCACAATAAGGTCATACGGCAATGCATTCAACAGATGGTAAATGTTGACAAACAATTAACCTGAAGTAGGTATTTTACCAGCTAAATCGGAACACGTTGCTCTTTATATAACTCATCTAATACAAACTCCAAACACTGCTGCTACAGTTATTACAGCAAACTGCGAATGAGCTCAATACCAATAAAGATAGTTTGCTCAAGACAATAGAAGAATAAGCCAAAAGGACACCAGCGAAACCCACATATAAAAAGCAGCCATTTACAACAGAAATGGTACAATGTATTATCAGATCACATATTACAAGCAATTCAGATTCATTTAAATTGCGAATTATAGTCATCATAGTTTCTTGGGTTTGAGGAGTTTTATAAGAATTGATGCAATTTGTAATATTAAAAAATAAAGAATTGTACTTTTATGAGACTCATGTTTGTATTAAGATAAGACATCCAAAAACAGATGTATATAGAACTGGTAATGAATGTTAAATTGCAGTAACATGATCATTTTTTGTGTTCAAAGGTAAATGTAAGCAATGAAGAATACATTTTTTGAGCAATATTACAAAAGAGTATATGTTAAGGTCTATGTTAAGGTCTAGTCTAGGTCTAGGTCATGTTATAAAATAGTGTTTCCAAGAATATAGGGTTATAAAAGATTTATTTCAAGAATATGGTTATTTAAGAATCGTAGTGTACATTTTATGCAGATACTTGTAGTTAACAATCAATTTATATTCACTAACTTTAACACTTCACGCAGCCGCAGAGCCACATGCTAATAGAATGTTATGTTTCATAAGTGTAAGTTAGAATAGAAATGTATTTTATTGCGTTTGAGTCACGTAGTACGAATTAGCAAGAAAATGATTTCTATTTGATCGTTTAGCGTTATGAAAATAGAACGGTAGTTGTATTGAGTGAATGGTGTATGCATTAGTGAATAAAGTCACTTCGGCTCTAAGCGGCGAGATAAACCAAGTAAATGTTATAATTTTATAAGGAAAAATTTTCGGACAAACCTTTTTCCTTTAACCTCAATTGTTGAGGATTTCAAGAATTTTTAGCATCATATTCTTAATAGTATAATAATGGGAATTAATAGGTTTGTGATGCTAAAGATAGAAAAGGTTTTACGGGTGGTCGGAAAGTTTTTAAGTTGAAATGATATAGATATGTTAGTAATTGATTATTAAGTAAATGCAGCACTTGTTAATTATAAACAATTTGATATTTTACAGCGGCGACGCAGCCGCAGAGCCACATTTTTGGCAAACACAGTGTCATGCAGATATGTGAACATTATTGTACAAATAATACACTCTGTTTTCTGCAGCACGCAGCCGCAGAGCCACATGCTAATAGAATGTTATGTTTCATAAGTGTAAGTTAGAATAGAACATTTATTTTAAACTTCTCAAAACGTTTCGGATCACATCTGGATCCTTTTTGATAAAAATACTGAATTGAAAGAAAAAATGTTATACCGTTTATAAATGGGTAAAATCATTGTTTATAGTCGAAATAGAGATGTCAGTTTTGTAGTTCATATTTATTTTCGTTTCCCCGGAATACTTTTGTGTTTAGTTTGGCAAAGCAGGAAATCATTCATGCAGGCTTTTGAAAAAAGTCAGTTGATGCTTATTTGAAAACACCGAAATCAACCATTATCCATAATGAATTTGTGTTAAAGTTGTTAACTGAACAATGATAAAGGAGATTTTGCTTGACAAGTAACATCGGAAGCCCAGCATATACAATTTTCATAAGAATGAAGTTACAGCGTAAAAACCAACCAACATACTGTCCACATTCTGTCATATTTGGTTTTGATCGACATGTGATTAGCAATACCCATGCAGACCTGTACTTTCCGTCGATCTGCATGTAAGCTGATGTAAAAGGAGTAGTTTTCTTTGAATTTACCATTTTGATTCATAATACATCCGAGGACTCACATCAAAAAGTTGATGTAATGTACCTTTTTAGATGTATTCATTATTGCTTGTTATAAAAAGGAATTACAAGTCAACCGACCCAATGTCGTAAAGTTAATCAGAGAAAGATGTTTGAGTAAATTGTGAGCAAGATTTACAATAACAAAACCGGTGTAAATGGATAGGAGGTCCTATCAAATTATGGTCCTACTCTCCATTGATTTATATGGTGACCTAAATACAACTCTTTCCCTCATTATCTTATACGCAATCAGGGCCAGTAAGGGCCGTTGAGAAAGGGGACCATAATCCCCGGGGGACCATCATTTCTTTCACACCGGCTTTATCTAAATTTAATATCAGGTGTAACCAGGCATTGGGCAAATGATAATCAAAATGAAATATGAGAAAAACGCATTTTCTATTCTTGCATTATGTGTACCCTGCTTGCAGAGTCTAGTTAAACTACACTCTGCCTAGTAGAGACCATATTACAGTTTAGTAGCCCCGCCCCCACGACGGGTACCGGTGACAGTTCGGGTAATAAATGACTTCCTGACCTATGCGCTGACCTTTCTTCCACTATTCAGCGAGCTTGAAGAAACATACGCCAAAAGCGTTCTAACTAAATATGCGCATGTCATTGGTCAATCCCTGGCTCAACGATTACGTCAGAAGGAATGACCATATATAGAACGTCGGTCAAATTTGGCCGATGAACACTGATTGGCGCGGTGAGTTCACAGGTTTATTTTAGTTTGAAAGAGTGAAGACGAAACTCTCTTTTAAGAAGTGAAGTCAAACGAATGCAAAGGGTACATTATGTGTGTCGATTCACTCAGAAAAAAAGAAAAACTCGAGCAGTGCTCGGGAGTCTGTTGGAATTTTTTTCCGAGTGAAAGGTGTTGTCACTTCTAAACATGAAAGCGTAAACATTTCCCACGGATTATTTTTTTCAAGGCATTGGAGTTTTTTGCTTCAAATCAATTAATTTCGTACAGAAAACTGTATATGTGCGACGGTATTTGTTTTGACGTTTTACGATGACATGATGGTTGGCCTTACATCAATGAAGATTAAATACATATAGTTTCTGAGAGTTTCTAGTCAACTGACTATTATATACAATAAAAAGCTTTACCTTTTGCTCTTGCGTGGTCCTCCCCGGAAAGTAAAATGACTTGTGAATATCAAATGTATGCAACAATTTGAACAAAATAAATGCTGTTTATATACAACAAGAGGTCATATTTTATAGATTTAATATTTGTTTGTGCATTTTGAATAATGTTTATGCATATATCACTTCAGAGTATTTATTAGCGTAAAAACACAATAGCTTATAATTATTCACATGTAAGTGTGGCGACCCGACCCATTTAATTATAGGTCAGAAAGTTAATTAGGCAAATGTATGCATATAAGGCAGGGTCTTAGTGTAACTTTTAAATGAATATTTTGTAACGTAATTGGCACTCTATTACTCCTTTTGATACTATTTAATACACTTAATATGATATATAGGGCAGCAATGGAACAATATGTCAAGTGAATGACATATAATAAATGGCAGCACCTAACTTTGCTCAGCCAATAATTTAACATAAAACAATCATGATTGTGAAATTCTATAACCGTTTAAAATAAAACTAATTTTATGGTCCTTTGTGCAAAAGTTGGTAATATCTGATCGTGTATACTTGAGTATTATATTGGCTATGATGCTTTGATTGGCAATGTACTGATGATTGACAAATTGGTTAAACGTTTAACAACCTTGAATGATCGCGAAATATGACTAAATGTGATATAAATAAGAAAAGCTGCAATTTGCTTATTCTTGTATATTGATCAGTTGATGAGGCGCTCAATATTTATAGTATGAACTGGTAATTTGAATAATGGAGAATCATCGTATATATTTGGCTTCACACGATGACAATAAGGTAGACTAGCACTTGAAATGATGCCAAAATATAAAGCAAGACTTCTGACGTTAATATATGTGACTAATAATATTCAAATAAAAATGTTTGAAATAATATGTAAATAACACATATCGCTAGCTACAGTAAACGTCGATTCTCAACAATAGCAATTACTGACTGTCACTAAATATTGAACCATTTTGTGTGCCACAGGAATCATGTTTAAAACTCATGGATGTCTACTGTTTTATAATGGTGTGAAACCCGCGAAATTTAAGATCAGCGAAATTGTGATTTATCAAAATTCGCAAAATTAAATAGCGTCGAAATATAACGGAAGCACGCGTGGGAAGAACAGTATTTGACTACGCGATTGTGAAATGTAAGTTGATAAACGCGAAAATAGCAATAGACACAATATTCGAACTTACGCTGCTATATTTACAATGGTCAAAAAAATACACCATGGATGATTTGGTGACTAGGTTTTAGACTTATTTGCGAATTTTCGGCAAATCAAAAAATACAAAAATTTAAAGTTGTAATCAAACCATTTTACTCAATTTAGATATATTTATGCTACCGTATAAAGGCCACACTTTACGATGGTGAATCATCAATTCTTCCAAAAGTTCATTTTTTATGATATCGGGGATATAAAGTCAGCAGGTGTCTGTTTTCGCGGCAAAACTGATTTCATTTTCAGAGCAGAAATTTTACGTCACGTGACATGACGTGTGTGATTGAATAATTTGCCGTGAAACACGATTTTGTAAATACAAATGAAACCCTGGCTTTCAAAAACGAGTTATTCGCTCTTTTTGTGCCAATTACTGCATGGTTGAGTCTATTCTTATCAATTTTGCGAAGGGAATAATATCATGCATTTGAGTGCAGAATCAATCGAGCTGAAACGATATTGAAAGCATGTAAGTTATATAACAGCAAATATTGCCAGTGTTTGGGGATTAAAACTTTTTAACCCGAATGTAATGCTGTATGACCAAAATAGATGTTATTTGTGGTAAATACAGGCTAATAAATTAAAGATTTTGAAATTTGTTTTAGTACAACTTTAAATATACAACGTACTTACACTAACCCGGTTATAACTTCTGTATGATAAGTTCTGATATATATTATATCTATATATATATATTTGATATCATGAAGATTCAAGGTTTATTACATGTTAAAAACATTTAGTTTCTCCACAAATGAATTACATGACATTTACATATAGTTATACATTTACACATTGTCAATAAATTACACAGCTAATGTTTTCCTTTTTCAAATAGCTCCCGACGTTGATTGAAACGTTTATTTATAAAATGTATCAATTCATTTACAATTTCATAACCATCTTCATTATGTTATTATCTTCATTATTCTTTATCTTCATGGATGTTCCGTATCAGACCATCTCTCTCCTAATATAGTAAGTACTGTTTACCGTATGTTTAGCAAAACACGGAGATATTGGTTAATTTTTATATCACTATCTAGCTAGCGACAGTATGATTGGTCAAAACCAGGTCACATGTCGTGGGATACGCGGCGATATTCAATGGCAATGCTAATCAGATAAGACAACCGTGAGATATCTAGCGATATCCCACGCTCCCGGGAATTTTCAAAGAATTTGTTTTCGTTCAGTGTAAATAATTTAGTTCAGTGTAAGTCAAAATGGCAGACGACCCGAGTAGATTCAATGTATTTCAATGTTAACCTATGACTTAAGAATATTAGGGATGTTTAGCTAGACAGTGATATAATAAAACAAATATTTCACTCTATTTTCGGTGAATACCTGTAGCACTTTCACAAGGTGATATTCACTTGTGAAAGATGTACAGGTATTCACCTCAATAGAGTGAAATATTTGTTCAATATTGATCACATAAAAATGTAGTGCTCAATTCCAGTATGCTGCCATAATTTAAGATTTCACTCAGGACGTGATGTCATTGACTCTCAACTTTGCATATGGGAAGGAGCTATTAAGAATTACACAACCGGCTGATTATTCTTTTTCAATTTTGTCTGCGCTTTAATCCTTTTGATATTTTATTCTATTATTCTAAGCTGATAAGCGCTCAACATATTTTTGCAAATAAAGCAATGACTACTTGTCTAGAAGTGATTTTGTGCTACTTCCCTATCCTGTTATAGGTAAGGTTATGAAGGCTGAGAGTCAATGACATCACTTCCTGAGTGAAATTTTAAAATATGGCAGCTAACTGGAAATGAACACCCCATTTCTAAATGATCAATATTGACTATATTAAAACATTTCCTATGAAATTTTCTTTGAAATTTGGGGGAAAGAACAAGGTAGAATGTTTGACAAATGTTTTAAAAGGTTTTTAAAATCAGTTTATATTAAATACTCAAAATGAATGTTTTTAGTAAGTTGTAATAATTGTTTTATCTTAATATGTACATTCGACGCACCTTTGCATTGCAGAGCGTGCCACTGTTTCAAAAGTGTAGATCGAAATAAATAAAATAAAATAAAAATAAAATATAGAAAGTATATACCTATAGCTATCACATTAGGATAGAAATGGTCAGGAATGTCCCTTTAAATTATCCCAAATAGCCAGTATATAATATGCATATAATGGCTTTGTGCAGACTACACTCCCCAATAAGTTTGGCAACCCTTTTTCCATATGGGCTTACGTGTTCAAGTCCCCTCTATGTATTTTAATTTTCATAACTTGCAACAAAAAAACTGATAATGGAAGCGGAGATGTGACTTTATTTCCTATACCTTAACTTTTTCAATATTTTATCGAAGTTATTTTTTATATAGGATATTAGAACCTTTTTGCACGCTTAATGTTACTCCCATATCTCAGACGTTAAGAGGTTGCACATTAATTAAATAAATTATTCATATTAATAACAACAGAAATAGCATCGACAAGGATGTATTTTGAATAATTGTATTCAATGATATTGTAATATTTAAATCTGGTCAGAGTCGCGTTGACTTTGTCGTTCAGTTATTTTATCGAAGAGAGTCACCCCTAATTGAAAAACTAAATTCTAGATTCGCTTTTTTTCAATTTTACGGGTAACATAAGCCTAGAAAAATCCATTCGCATTTGAATCAAGTTCACTTCACTTTCATTATCTCCCGTATGTTATCTCATTTTCTTGTAACATATATAGGCTTAAATGACCGATATTACAAATCATTCTAGTGACCGATATCACAAATCATTCTAGTGACCGATATCGCAAATCACTCTAGTGACCGATATCACAAATCATTCTAGTGACCAATATCACAAATCATTCTAGTGGCCGATATCACAAATCAATCTAGTGACCAATATCACAAATCATTCTAGTGACCAATATCACAAATCATTCTAGTGACCAATATCACAAATCATTCTAGTGACCGATATCACAAATCAATCTAGTGACCAATATCACAAACCACTCTGGTGACCAATATCACAAATCATTCTAGTGACCGATATCACTAATCATTCTTGTGACCGATATCACAAATCATTCTAGTAACCGATATCACAATTGCAATTCATTCTAGTGACCTATATCACAAATCATTCTAGTGACCGATATCACAAATCATTCTAGTGAACGATATCACAAATCATTCTAGTGACCGATATCTCAAATTATGTTAGGGTTTCATACATGATTGCATTTATATACAACTTAACGATAGTCTTGTTATAAAATGTCAATCGAGATAAAATAAGTAAACACATTGTAATGGAAATAAAAGGGAATGTAGTCAACATTCTTAATTATGTACATTTGTAGATATGCCAAAACAATACACTTTATTTATTTCATAGTAAAACAATACATACATGTATTGTAAAATCCACTTTAATCACAGGGAGATTTATAAACTAGACTTGTGTGTTGGCAGTTGTATGGTAGATACTAATTTATTCTGAATCTGTTTTATACAAAATGTCACAACTTTTGCAATAAAGCATTTTTTATTAAATCAATTATTTGCCCCTTATCAAATATGCACTTTTTAAACGAAAGGTCGAGCGATAAAGGACGATTCTCGGTTTGAAAACGAAGTTCATCAATCTAAATGAGCATTATCCCTGCTTCGGACAAAGATTTTTTACATAATATATAGATTTGAATGTCTACTTTTGAATAGTCATAATTTAATTTGGGTAATATTTCTAGATTTTTCGCAAAAAATATTAGCGCAGTACACTGATGAACTTCTTTCCCGTTAAATGTCCTCTTTTG